AGTTGCAATGCACCTTTTTTTCTTTTATCATGAGAAGATAGATGTCTTTGATGGTGACTAGCAAATTTTAATCATATTTGTTGATTAAAGATAGCTTCTACAAATTTTTTTCAATGTGCTGCCAAAGGGTCTGCACCACTGTTTGGATTTTGTGTATCAGAAAATCAGTTCTTACTACAATAATCTATAGGGTGGCCCAAAAATATGTATGATTTTGAAAAATCAAATCCTTTATTCAAAATATCAAACATTCTTATAAACAATTGGTTAAATAAACATCTATACAACCCACATCATCAAAATAAACATCATTTTTGCTCAAAATGACCACCTCCTGCATTGATGCAGAGCTTGAGTCGCTTCAGGAAGTTGTCCACCAAAAATTTGATTTTTCAAAATTGTACCTATTTTTTGGCCACCAAGATGTTCCAAGATACATGGAGGTACATCTTGTCTTCCATTGAAGGAATTTTAGAGAATTTCTTGCTCTTGCTGAGCTGCACAAGCATTTTGAAAGTTGCAAGTGAAATTTAAAGAATTCCCCCTCCTGTTAGTCTCTTGCTTTTATGAAAATGGGAAGCTTGATTGTTTTCACTCCAATTAGTTATTATGTCAGTTGCGATAATGCAATTGTCTAAGGCAGACTTAGCAGTATTGAAGTGTGTTTCTTGACATTTGACTTTATTTAGCACATTGATCACCAATGTAGTTTTGCTAATTCTTTTCTATGGTGCTACATGACATGCTAGCATGTCACACTGCAAATATTAATTTTCCCCTTGACATAGTATGAAACATGTGTGGTGACATGCTGGCATGTCACATGGTGGTCAACATGTTAAAAGAGTGATTACTTTAATAAAACTACTGCTGAATGCTGTCATTCAGACAGAATGCTATCCCATCATTCATCCAATTCAGTGAGTTTCCTTGGAGTCATGGGAATTTCCTGATATTTAATGAGTGAGTTTTAAAGTGCTTGTTTGGCTAAACCACTTGATGGAAAATCCTTTAAAATTTTCACATTATAGAAAACTTGATGCATACAGTTCAGGCATACATAGCAATAACTTTAACTTTTTTAAATCATATTTAAACATTCCAATGGTGGCATGTTTTTTTTCTCTGCACCTGATACAGTATTATGTGTGTTCATTGCATGATGCCATATTATTTTTAAGGACAAGACATTTTCTGTTTCTGATTGATGAAGTCTTTGTTTGTAATACCTCTGACAAACATAATGTTGATTAGATCCCCCTATAATAATAAATCAGAATGTTGTTAAGGGCAGTTGAAAATTCTTACTTTAGACATCAGTAAACTGCAGAGTTTCTTTAGTTGTGTTGTAGATTTTATGGCTATATAGTTGTAGTAAGCCTAATGGAGGGGTTTGCTTTTCTCCCAACAGTGGATCTCCTGTCTAGTCGGAGACAAGGTATGGTTCCATCATCCTGTATATTTGGGGCATTATGCATTGATATGATGCTTGGATTTTTTTTTTCTTCAAATTTTCTCATGTTTTGGAATCTTGTATATGTCTGAGGAGTGCTCAAACAGATTTTCTCTGATCCTTTCCTATCTGATATATCTCAGCTGCAGAATATTTCAAGAAAACCATGAAACACTTACAGGATCATTGGGCTTATTGAGGGAATTGCATGCTTGGAAATCTACTTGCTTGTAATTCTAAAACTGGGCAGCTCTGTTGTCCTGCTGTCCAAGCTGAATTTAAAAAATAGGATTGAAATTTCTGGAACGTGGTGGAGAGAAACACTGCATTAGGCCAGATCATGAGGTAAATATTTACTAGTTGAATTTTTAAAATGGGAAATTATTATGAAGTACTAGAGATATCTGTTTTGACTTGAAGTGGAGGAAGTTTGTTGGAATACGGGTTCTAAAGCATTCACAAGATGTTTTATGGTGTCTAAGATTGGGAAATTGTTGGTATTACCAACATACTGATAAGGTATCAGTAGATATCAGTAGATAAGAGATTTCACCAGAACCATGAATGAAAGACTCCAGTCAGTTTGGCTTAGCTTCATATCTTCATAAATGGATTGCCTCTTAGGCATGTTTTGTTTATGACTGGGCTTGCCCAAGGGACAGAAGGACAAAGCCTTATCAATCCATCCAGGATATCCTGAACCCTTAGAGTGGATTTCCTGTGCTGTTGGCTTGTTCATTTTGCTCAAAGTGCCTTTGAAGATGCTCTGATGTGTTCTGGGCAAGAGTTCATCTGATGAAGTAACAATCCCATGTTTTCTCCTCTTTTCTTGGCGTGTCCCATCCCTTCTGCACGCGTATGTCTGGGTCATGGCATCTGTCATCCATACTCGTCCTCCATCTAAAGCTGTAAGTTTGACATTTTCATACCAAATTCTTCTTTTGCAACTTCAGTTTGCAGAGAACTACTCTTACTCCCCTTCTTGCCTTCCTCTCTCCCCATTTTTTGGGGTGAGAACATTAACACTAGACACTGATCTAGTCAATTGCCATGCATGATTAATATAATGGTGCAGAGAGATAGACAAGGAGGTTTGCCATAGCCAACTAGCAAAATAGGCTGATTTAAAAAAATCTTTCGCTTGATGGCCTTTCCTATGAAAGATCTGTTGTGGTTGCATGTTTCTTCGTTTCATGTCATGCAACAAAAAAAAAATTTCTATTCTAAAAAATATTTTTTAGCAGCTATTACACCGTTACAAGTAGAGAGTGTTTATTCATATCGAAAGAGTACAAAATTTACTGCGCTAATGTGGATTTTCATTCATGTTGAACATTCGTAGCCCTTGTGGCATCAGTATCAAAACTTGCGTTCGACATTTCTGTTGCCCGCTAACACGCAGGGCTTGAGGACACGAGTGACGCGGTTGTATGCTGGCGTGGATAAATCCAGCTAATCAAGTTGATGCTATCCACCAGTCTCCGAGACCGCACCTGTGTTCACTGCATTTCTTTCTCTCGCGTATATGTGTAGCAATGTTGTGCGTTATTGGCTGGGGCTAGATTTATTATTATTTATTTCGTTTCGTTTCGAGTTTCGCCCTCTTTCGAAAGGATTGGTAGTGTTGCATTAGCATGTTTTTTTTTTTTATAGGGTTAAAAAGTGAAACAAAACCCCCAAAAATAAGAGGGTATGTCCATAGGAAATGATGTGGTACATTAGCTCTTGCCTTTTCTTGGAATTGAGGGAATTAGCGACCTTGATGCAAAGACTCGAATGGTCTGCTTCCACGTTTGGCAGGCGATGGTTTCTCCTCTCTGTGACTTTCTAAGGGAGGTTACCCCTTCCCTAGTGATTCTGTTGCCCTTTCACTGCGTAACTGTATTTGCATTCCTATCGCGGCTTTGTAATGGCCCTAGGGATTCCGCTGTTTGCCTTGCGTCATTTTCTCTGGTTTGGATGTGTCATCGACTAGGCACCACTGATGTTTCGTTTAGCTTCCTCCTGGTTAGATCATTCGAGGAGTCAGTCGTAAATCATAAGGTTGACTTGAAGCATTCCCCCGGTACGTTGACGTTGTTTAGACTCTCATCCCCATGTCAATGGCAGGGGCTTGTTCTTACGAAGGCAGGAAGTTGGGAGGGCAAGGGCGCCTTCATTCATGAAAGTAGAGCTTGTTAGGCGAATGATGGCCTCATTTACCCTCAGCCGACCGAGTTCCGTTATTCGCACGTAGTCAGAACACGAGACGAATTCATTCTTATGCTCTCGTGGTTGTGTACCTTCTCCTTCCGGAGCCTGGGTTACAATGGAATAGAACAGAATACATGTGCGCGTTCGCTAGAAAAGCATGAAGGATCGCTGAGTCGCTCGCAGTCAGCTGCATCCGTTGATCCGGACCCAATACATATAAACATACATATAGTCGTGTACGTAAATACACAAGCACGCATGAAAGTGGTGGCGCATAGCAGAGGAAGCTGAGTTGACTCGGACGTGTATGCGTGGATGAAGCCCATGTGGAGTGAGTCATAAGCAGGGCAGGAGGGGAAGGGAGCCTGGCACGAGACAAGCCCTGTGGTTCTCCCTCCCTTCCTCCCCCCCTCTCCCTTCGGGGATATCTTTCCCCTCCTCTCCCATCCATTTTTAGGTTGTCCCGCGCCCCCCACCCCCTTCTGTCTGCTTTCCCCCTCCTAAGCCCACTTCGTCCTGTTCTCGCTGTCGCGTGCGCTTGCGCTCCGTTCTCGTGAGTCCTATGGACGAAATGTTGTAGGTTCAGTGCTCATGTGAATGTGCGTGTTGTCATAGATCGCCTTCACTGAGCGCCAGTTAACCAGCCACGTGAGAAGAGGAAAGCGGAAGCCCTATCTCTCTCATTGTGTATGAGTGAGTGAGTGAGTGAGTGTGTGTGCACGATTGAGATAAGAATCGAAGCAGAGAAGGCCTGGTCAGACCAGTGGCACAATCGGACCGAAGTTTCGGGAGGGTTTCACCCGCATATGCCGCCGCTTTACCCCCTGCTCACTCTTTCATGAGTGATAGAAGACAAGACAAGACGATTAGCCAAAGCAATGGTGCTCGTTATAGGTGTTCGGTGTGCATTTTGTCCCTCATTTAGTCTGTCATACCTGGTATGAAAGTTTTTTGAGCTGCGGGTTCAAACCCCCCTATTAATCCCTTAGTTGCGCCACTGGGTCAGACCCAATCCCATATCCTGTTCTGGTCTCATTCAACTGATCCTGAATCCAGAGCACACCAAACCTATCCCTGTCTGCAGACATTAGTGAGAAATATATAGCTGCGCATGTGTTGGTCTCATTCTTTGCCTCATACCCAATCCCATCTCACCGTCGTTCCTTCCACCTCGTGATCCGACGAGTAGTGCAGATCCATGGCTGCCTCTTCGGGTTCCAAGTACTGTCAGTATTCATACAAGGGCACCGGCACTGGGACCGGGAGTGCGGGCACATACTCCTCCTACCTGAGCGAACGCCGAAATCGTAGGCAGGAGACGCCTATCGATCGAGATAGAAATTTCAGTGGTAGTATGTTGGGATCTGGTGTGACCCCCGGTTTCCGAAATCCGGCAGTGAATAAACTTGCTCTCCGACACCTGGAAAGTCAAGACATTGACAGTAAGGAAGACGAGCAAAACCATGGGCAAGAGGAATCGACAGAGAAACCTGCAGTAAGTGCCAAGTGAATTTGGCTCTTGAATTTTCCTGCATTTCCGGAAATGATGCGTGATTGCAGATGGTTTTCCGCTTTCCCCAGTATATATGAACTATTCTCGCGGCCGTCCTTAAAGAGGGCTCATTTTCCGTCGAGTGAACTAATTCGAATGTGAACCATGCAGAACGCTCATCCACCTGGTTTCTGCATAAAAATCGTATGGACAATACATTAGGTATTTTGAGCAATATCTTCAAGACCCTTTATCCGTATCCGGCTTCATTGTAATATTGAAGACAGTGTAAGATTGGCGAACTTTCGTCAATGAGAAGCTTGCCCTGTATTAAGGCACGTATAGTATTTAGAGGCACATTGGTAACGAAGAAAATTTATAGATCCCCTCGTATGTTATATGAAAAGCAGAGTGGAAAGAGGAACCGGCCATAATGCTGTACCCGTGGTGCTTAGCGCCTCATGACCCTAAGGATCAAATTCCCTTCACGCAATGATCCATTAGTCGTAAAGTGTATCAACTGTTGGAATTCTCCACGCTGCATGAATAACAAGACCGTATCCAATTCACAATGGGATCCAGCCCTATAGTTTGTTGCTGGAGTGCAAGAGCTGATATCAGAGCTCTTATCGAAGTGTCAGGGTAGGAAGAGTTCCTGTTCCACATTGAGTAGCTTCACGCCCTCGTTTTTTTTTTTTTTTTGCTGCAATGTACACCTTGGAAATTTGCAAGTGAAAACTAGTTCCTTTCTCTCCCTTCCAATCTTATTTCCTCCTTTGAATTCCCAAGAGGGTTCAATGATGTTGAATGACTTTCCTTTAATTCACTATTCCTGCCTTCCTCTTGCATCAAAGGTGGTGCTAAATGTATTACTGTGTATTCAGTTGCAGAACAAGAGGGAAATGTTCTTCAAGAATGACCACTCCAACCACATTCAAGCTCAGAGTGGTGTGAACAAGGAAGGAGGGAATAAAGACAATCAGGCGTTGTATGGAAGCACTCCAGTGCAGAATGCAAAAGAAGCCCTCTTTCAGCATCAACATCAGAATCAGCATGCCTCCAATCAGAGTTCTCACAAGGAACAACCAGCTGTGAAAAAAGAAGAGAAGAATCATCAGATGAATCATCATCCTCCTCCTCCACCTCCTTCACACAATCAGGAAGAATCAGAAAGAGAGAAGCCTGTGGTTAGGGATAGGGACAAGGAAAAAGAAAGGGATAGGAGAGAGAAAGAAGAAAAAGGGAATATTTCGGTTCCAAAATGTAGGGAATTGGAAGCCTATGTTGGCTTTGCAATTCTCCCTGACCAAGTGTACAGGAAGGCTGTGAAGAGGGGATTTGAGTTTACCCTGATGGTTGTAGGTGAGTGCATCTCATACTCTAAACAATAATAAATCGACCCATCCTAGGAGCTAAACAAATGTGATCCAGCCATTCTTTGCCTCATTTCTTGGCAAGCTCTGTCCTATTGGTTCTTTTTGTTTGAGCATGAATAAACATAGGCAGGCATGGTAGTTTAGATTTTCACTCCTATTTTTTTTTTTTTTCTCTTGGATCATCATCTAATCTAGCTAGGCCTATAAAATAAAGGTTTGAGGAGACACATCCTCCTGAGACATGTCCAATCTTATGTATACATTTTATATATTGTAATTTTCAATCATTGGAAGTTCACATGTTGGCAAAAACTCCACTATTGATCATGAGTGTGATAGTGGTATGGAGTCAACCCTGTTATGTGCTCTGCAAGATTTCAACCTTTATTGAAGTGAAACATGTGGTGGAAAAAAATTATCATGACATGGGCTACCAGTTTATTTTGATCATAATTCTTCAGCAGTTTCCTGTTTGGTACGGTAGCTAATGTGTTTAGGGTAGGTGATACAAATTCCGACCCCCTTAAGCTTGAAATCCGCCCCCTCACCCAGGTTTGAAATATATATATTTGGGATCTATGCCAATCAAGAGGAATCACACTACCCATTCATGTTTAGAGACCATGCATTGGTGTAATTTGGTTGAAAAAGGCTGTTTGTATTTCTGTTAACGTTAAAATGTGTAGTGTGGGGGTGGACTGGGTTGGAATTTGTATTGTCCACCCTAGTTTGTACAATATATTGGATGCATGATCTCAGGAAGTCATAGAGATGGTATAATAAGAAAGTTGAAACTTACTGTCTATGTTCTGGCATTGTTGCACCTTGCATTTCTCCATACTTCCATGCAGGTGAATCTGGGACAGGGAAATCCACATTGTTAAATTCCATGTTCATGGCTGACATTTATTCCCCTGAGTATCCAGGTCCCTCACATCGCATCAAAAAGACCGTTCAGGTTAGCCCTCAGCCACTTTAGTGAGAATGATTATTTTTTTTATGTTCTGTTGTGTTCATTATTTTTGTCACATGTGACTAATTGTAGGTGGAGGCAACAAAAGTTTTGCTGAAAGAGAAAGGGGTGCATTTATCCCTCACACTGGTAGATACCCCAGGATTTGGGGATGCTGTCAACAATAGCAATTGGTGAGTATATTCTGTAGTCTGCTCATCTTGTTTGCTGCTACTAATTCTTTATTCCTACCTTCTAGCTACCTTCTTTGATATTTCTGTTCTGTTGTATTTTCCATAAAAATTGGTCATGAAAGTGATCCTTTCTTTTCTGTTTCTGTTTCCAGTTGGCAACCCATTGTTGACTACATTGACAGCCATTACGAAGAGTACTTGAACAACGAATCCCGTGTTAGTAGGAAGAAAATGCCAGACAACCGAGTGCACTGTTGCCTGTACTTCATTGCTCCCACAGGACATGGTCTGAAACCTCTGGATGTTGAATTCATGAAACGACTTCATGAGAAAGTTAATCTTGTGCCTGTGATTGCCAAGGCGGACACCTTCACATCAGAGGAGTGTCACCTTTTCAAAAAGCAGGTATGAGAAATTTCTGGAAGGCCATGAAATAAGATTGCTGTGCTTGTTCCTGTATTATAGTTTTATCAGAATGTGTCATCTTCATGGCATAACCCATCATATTGGTGCCACTTCCTCCTGAAGATCATGCTGGAGATACGTCAACACAAGATCAAGATCTATGAATTCCCAGAGGGGAGAGAGGAAGAGGAAAGAGTCCAGAAGCCACTTCGTGACAGAGTACCTTTCGCTGTTGTTGGCTCAAATGCCGTCCTTGAGGTTGATGGCAGGAAGGTTCGAGGACGCAAGTATCCATGGGGACTAGTGGAGGGTTAGTATGCACTTTTCATTTTTGGGTGTCTTTTCAACATGAAATACAATATTACCTTGCCTAAGGCAATTGGCACCATTCTGTCATAAGGTACTACCGGAAGATACCTATTTTTATCATAGTTTTAACACTCCTATGACTGAGCTGAGTTTATTAGACTCCTTTCTTATGAAGAAGGGATTCATGCTTGAGGTCCTGAGTATTTGTGCATGTAAATTTTCAGTGCATAATAAATGATATGTGGGTAGGTGATACACAAGAGAATAGTCAACCCTTGATATAGCGCCACTGTTGGTCATTGCTGATTTTGGTGCTATAATGAGGGTCACGCTATATTGAAGTAACTATATCCTGTGTATTATATAGGCCAATGGGGAGATTTGTTAAGTAGAAGAGGGTGGCGATTAGTGAGGGTGGCAGTATAACAAGAGTTGACTGTAGTACATACAGATATGATTAAAGTATTTTTGCACATCGGTGATGATGATCTCATCACCTATTATTGATTTGCTTGCAAATCTGTGCAATTCTTGTACCTTTTGACAGTGACCTATTATGAGTTTCATATGATTCTACTCATACTGAATTCACTATGTTAATTAAATTGCATGAGGCTTAAAAGTAGTGGCACTGCACTTTGAAACTCTTTTATGACTGAGAATACCATTTGGCTCAATAAAATTTTAATTTTTAAATGCTGATATTTATCTTCTGAAAAGCGTGAAATTTTATTATGCCGCTGCTTTACTGCATACAAGGGACAATTGAAAATTTCTCAGACTTTGTTACTTTATTTTTAGTATCTCTTGGATCTGACTCAATTTTATGGCTGTGACTGGGGATAATTATGCAAGTTTTTGAGTGTACATCTTGTGTATTCCCATTTTCATGCCTTTTTAAAATTCAAAGGTTAATTTTTGTTCACTAATGGAAAGTTCTGAGTTCTTGGTGAATAACAATGAAAAGATCAGCGATAACATTTGTAAAACCTAAAGAAGTGTGGAATATGTTTTGTCTTAAAAAAAAAAAACAGCCTCTCACTGCTGGTTTCCTCAGGTGTTCAACTTCTATCTAGAAAATGTTTTGGAATTTGAAGGAGACCACCTGAATTCTGTTGTCTGTTCTTCCTTGAGGCATCAATTAATGACATTTTTAAAAAAACTAATTTACTGTTGATTTTTCATTCATTTGGCTTAAGTTGGATCACTCTGAGTCAGTCACTTTGTGATTAAGATTGTAACTTTGGCATTACATGATCAATTCAGGTTGGCAAATTAGTTCATAATAGTCTTCACAGGATTGTATCATCTGCATTCTAGCATCATACCATTACCATATGATTCCTGACTTTTGTTATTTCCTGTATATGACCTAGGTCCTAGCAGTAAGTAGCAAGTATTTTTTGCTGCTTTCCCTCCAGTCTCCTGTCGAATTTATTCTAATGGAACCAAAACTAAAAAAATTTAACTCAGAGGTAATTACTAAATCTAGCAAATACATTATTACATAGTTATATCTGTGTCCTTATTCCATCCTAGAAAACCCAACTCGGTTCAGGCTTTGCTTCACTTGTGCCGTTTTTTTTTCAAGAAAACAAACGCAAGCCATTTTTGGTTCAGCACACATTTCATGTTATACCCCTTCTCGCATGAATCTCTGTCATCTAGAGAAGCTAAATAACTGATCCTATACCATATTTTAACTTGATAATACAAGATAATGTGATTTGAACCTCAATTTTTAGGTGTTTTCTAACTTCAAGGAAATGAGAGTTTGAATAACATAGTATGATTTAAAGGATTATTCAAGATATCAAGTTGTGGGCTTTGTTCTGTGAACTCTCTTCCCCCTCAATAACATCTTTCTATGAAACACCTCTAATGCAGTGGCATTTATCTTTATTAGGTGCATTGTGACACTCCACTGTGAAGAACATTGCAATAAGAATGCAACCATAAAAAGCAGGCTTTTTTAGATCATAAATCAGACAGAAAAATAAGTTTAAAATGGGGTGTTTTCTTTCTTTGCACCACCTATAGTGATTGATTGGATTGCAGTGACATGTAAATTTTGGGGGAAAGTATCTTGGGTTGAAAGGGTTGAGCTGATGACTTTTGTCTATCAGAAAATGTATTGCAAAAGCATATTAAACATCGTTCAGAACTCAACTTTCCTATTGTCAACTTTATCTAAGGTCTTGTTAAAATGTGGTCTAAAATTTGATTAAGTTACCATAGAAAAATCAAGTTTTAATGAAAACCTGAACTCAATTTTGAAAATATGATTGCAAGTAAGTTGAACAGCTTATGAATCACTTCATGGAACTTCTCACTATGCCGTGTCTTGAGAATTGCTAGCTGTTAGAAACCACCTACTTCAGGTGAAGAGCTAATGAAGACCTAAATTACAAAGTGTCTTCTGTTGTATTTTTTGGCCCAGCTCTTGGTGCATGCTAATTTCCTGTTTCAGAAGGAAGTTACAGTGGAAGAAATCATGATGGCTACTCTTGATCATCATAACTCGATCATACCAAAATATCTTAAGCAGGCATAAAACTCATAAGTTGGTCGATATAACTCCAGGGCATGGGAGAACCCTTAACACATTGATGCTGGGAACTGTAATATTAAGTTTTTAATCCTATATTGTACTGCAGTTGCTGGGCGTGAATGTATTAAGTGAGTCCTTGTTCAGCATTCTTAGATGGCAATATTAAAATTTGAGGATGACATTCATGCATGCATGTGCCTGCATTTAATAGACATGGTGCAGGAGAGGTGTGGGGTTGGCAGTCATGGAGGACAACCATGGGCTGTCCTCCCATGACTGCCATGGTATTTCTAGGTCTTTTGAGGTATGAAATTCTTCATTCATCTAAAGCAGGGGTGCCCAAAGTGCGGCCCTCCAAGGGCTTTTGTGCGGCCCGCGAGGAGTTTTGGAAAACAAATGAATTTGTTATGATGTAAATGAATGAACGACTAGGTTTTAATTCTCTCGCGGGTAAGTACAGTCTATTCTCGGATATGGAATTATCCTGACACTTTCATCGGGTAAACATGAGGCGCATAGCTGGACTTCACATCCAGGTGCAATCTGTGAGGGCAAGAGAATACGCAGGACTGCCAGATTCTGCTGAAAATATGCGTTGCACGCATCATTCCAAAGAGCTTCTTTGCATTTTTTTCACACAAAAATATCTCTGATAAATTCATGCTGTCAGATTCCTCCCAATGGCCTCCACGGCATCGCAAACATACTGCAGTAAGAGATTCATATCAAGATAATGTTTAACATTTCATGGCACCTTCTGACATCCCTACCTATTTCTACAATCCCATCTGGAAGGAGCGAAGGGAGAATAGGAGCAAAAACCTGGACTATATTGAACCTATTTCTACAATCCCATCTGGAAGGAGTGAAGGGAGAATAGGAGCAAAAACCTGGACTATATTGCACCAGCCTCTTCCGTAGGGCTTGCACTGCATGCCATCAGTCTCTCAAAGGACAAACGAACAGGGACAATGTTGTCGAAACCGTTCATTCCATGAAGACTGGGATTATCAGTCGAGCCGATACCAAGCGACAGTGTGGATGTGCGAATTAAACTTTGGGTTCTATTTTTCGGTAGCAATGTCAGCAGAGCGTAAAATACCTCGTATCGATGAAAAAAACCGTATATTTCAAGACAAGTGGACTCACGAATACTTTGGGTGACATGCATCAATGGAGGAATCGGAATAGTTTAAAGACGCGATGAACACATTTACTAAAACATGTTTAAGAAAATGTTTCTTTGACATGCCCCATCGAAAATCATATTAGTTTCGTGAACACGTTTATCCACGACTTAGACACGTTTAAAGGCGGTATGGGAGCCCTTGCAAGGAGAATGATGATTAGTGTGGCAGCTGCAACTCCATCGTCCGCAGCAAGTCGGCGACGGTGAAAACCTTCGGAATTTGTCTCAATTGAACCATTGAAGAGGATTGAGCTGATCTCTGATGGTTCGACAGTCCTGGCAGTCCAGGCCTGAACCAAACCTGGCAGTTTGGTTCAGAATCACGTCAAAAACTCCTATCTCGTCGTTAGTTTCCAATTGAACCATTGAAGAGGATTGAGCTGATCTCTGATGGTTCGACAGTCCTGGCAGTCCAGGCCTTAACCAAACCTGGCAGTTTGGTTCAGAATCACGTCAAAAACTCCTATCTCGTCGTTAGTTTCCGTTTCCACCGTCGCTGGATGATGAGAGGCAAGATAAAAGAGGCCCACTTCGGCGAAACAGCAAGCTGAATTAGGTCAAAACCAGGAAAAATGTTTTTATTTGGTATAATATTTACCAGGCAGAAAAGCAAGTTTTTCCAATTATGCGGCCCGCGAGCCCGCTCCCTACAGGTTATGCGGCCCCGCTGACCCAAAACTCTGGGCACCCCTGCTCTAAGGGATCCTTGAAATTATAGAAATCCTGTTTCCAAGAGACTTTTTGGGACACTCCACATTCTATGTGCTGATTTTTTTTTTAAAGGTGGTCTTCAACTTTCATCCAGTTGAACATACTCATGAGGATATTGACTAACTCTTCAGCTCAGTGAACCATTACCTGAGGGTTAGAGACACCTGCACAGAAAATTGTAATTTTCTTTTCCCAGTTTGTCGCTTTGGCTTGATTCTGAATGCCACATGAAAATTACATGTATATTTCTGTTCAATTACAGGTTTTATGACGTGTCTGCAAAAGATTAGAAGAAGAGAGAGGCCTGAAAATATTCATGCTGAAGAATTAAATGCCGTCCACAACTTCAAGACAGTCATCCAGGATCATTTTCCACGTCATTTTCGTGGACAGACCAAACCTCATTCATTCCGATTCAGGAAATCCAAAGGAATCACACAAATGCACATTCGAGTGCATGCTGGAGAAGCCTGGTGCACCAATGAGCATGATATTCAATCCATCAGGGAGTGCCTTGGCCCAGACCTTGGATATGTATGTCTACAGGTAAGGATAGTGCAATGGCTGACTAATATCCCTAGTTGAGGTCATTAAGCATACCTGATATTATAAAATTTTTGTAAAATTAAATTGGATTGGACTGATTTTAGTTTTATCATTTCAATTGGTTCCTAATATGAAATGTCACTTTTGCAGGAGTGTAATTGTAGAAGCTTTTCTCAGGCTTGGAGTTGTTCATGAAATTATTAACGTGTGGAATGCCTTTCCCCCTTTTCACTTCTTGATTCATTTCCACCTCCCAGACGACTCCAGCTCTCAATGCATTTGGTGTTTTGGTGCCTCCTGATTGGAATGCAGTTGGACTAGAGGTGATGAGGGCATCCATCCAAAATTACTTCCCAGAAATGTCTGAAGACAAAGTCCACGCTTGGCATGTGTTTTCTCCAGGCACCCAGCATTCCATTGTAATGGCGGTTGTATGCAGCCTCAAATATGTTTTATTAGCAAGTAACTTATGGAATTAAACAACCAGATATGCATCGGTCTATCCCCAGGAACCAGTATTTAATAGAAAATTAAACTACTTTTATACGTCTCCTCAGAGCACGGCTTTTGGGTGGGTCGCTTTTCCGAAATACATTTTTTCCACCAGCAATAAGGGGAAACGATTGAAACTAGGTGGCATTGGGTTCCCTGAGTCTACATTTCAAAAGAAAAAAAATTTTCCTTGAAACACATTACGGCACTTTTTTCAGTCCCATTTTCTTGAATTTTTTTTTGATCAAAAGAAACAGAGACAGAACATTTAAACTTCACTCAGAAGTACCTGTTTGATGGCTGAGTAGAGGAAAAATCATAATTTTGGAATATGTCACCTTAGCGTAGATTATTGAGGGAAGTATTTCAAAATGTATTCTCCACCCTTACAAAAAGGGACACAGGAAAAGATTTCAAGTTAGGCACACGTAGAATCATAGAGATAATGAATTTGATAAATATCAAGACTTACGTCCTCATAAGTCACTTATTTCAATGGGGACTTACTTAAAACATGTGTTTCCCATTTCGCAAGAAATGAATAAATTAATGACTATCCAAGGTAATAGGGCGCCGAAGGCTCGACCATAGCGAGTTTGTTTGCCAGTATAATGAATCTACAACAGGGAAGAGACAGTTCTGGCTGCAAAGTAAGTAGCAAAGCAGCTAGTAGGACATCTGAGGGGTGATTTGACACGCGGGTGGCTTCATCATGACGAAGGTAGCAGTTGGAGTACATATACAGGGTGCCCGGAAAAAAAAGTATAACCTTATACATTTATAAGTTTCTCGGCAACTGTCAAGGGTACGGGGCGCTGCGGCAGGTTGTTAAGTACAGGCAACAAATATTTGATCAAATTCGCTCCCTAGCGTCCCGCGCCTGACAACTATCATTTCAGAAACTCTTTCTTTCTTCGGGAGGAAAGGTTCATGCCTGTTCACGGCCGAGAAAGAAATATCCCACAACCGAGTCTGATAATTAATTTATTACATTAGTGTCTAAAGGTTACCAGGTTGTTCAACAAAATATATAAAGAAACAAAAATTTTGTTAGTTTACAAGATTCACAAACAACAAATAAGGAGCTACCCGGTTCCTGAGCAAGCGCGCGTAAGAGAGAGTTTTCGAATCTATCGGGAGACCTACTCTTAAGGGTCGAACTGGGGCAATAACACTCTGGTCGGACTGAGGAGGGAAGAACTCCACTATCAAGGGCAGGGCCGAGTCCCCTCGCTTCTCTAGGGACTGGTCTTCTTGGACGAAGTTTCTCCCTTTTTCTTCAGGGTGGCTGAGGAGGTTCCTGGAGGAGGGATTCTTGGCTGGTAGCTTGCGCCCATTGGTTGTTCAATCCCCAGGAACAGTTCTCATTGGGGAGGACAAAATCATCTTCATTAATTTCTTGGTCCGTATCTCCGAACATGTACCTGTCCAACCAATGGTTTTGAAACATGTATCTGTCCAACCAATGGTTTTGGAAATGAGGTTGTCTCATAAACCATTGGTTGCGACATGGGTTTTCTGGACAGGGATGTCCGAAGATATTGTCCTCCGGATCCTGACTGGAGGTCACCTGGAATGGTGATCCCGATCCGGCATCCCTGAGATAATGTCCCCTCATATGTTTTCCCCTTGTCTCCTCAGCTTATCACCCTGACTTCCGTCCGTCTCCTCAATCAGCATGCCTCCTTTTCCTTTCCCTGGACGACATGTCTGGAAGGGCGGCGGCCCGTCACACCGTGATAGGACTTGGAAGGGCGTCGGCCCGTTACACAACCAGGAGATCAAACTGCCATTTTAAAAATGGGATGAAAAGAGTTCAATTAGTCAGAAAGCACTCCTTCCAATCCCAGGCGGATTGGTAAATTATGAGCCGTAGTTTGTGCCAATTCGTCACCAAAGTCATATTTATGCGTAGGTCCAACTTTTGCCCTGTAAATTTACAGTACTCAGCATCTCAATTCAAAACACTGCCATGCATTTTTGATTAGATCCTAAAAAATACCCATATTCAATGAAGAATATCAGAAATTAGATATGGTATTCACATATCTGACCAGAACATCATTCTGTACTAATCGCTTAATCCTGTCGTTCTCAATTCCAAGTGCACTGAGTTACTGAGTGGTCTAAATTAGAAATAGTTCCTTGTAGGTGAGAGCCTTTTGTGCACATGTTGCACTGGTAACTGCAAGTGTGCCAGCATTGTTATTTCTTGTGTAAAGGTGCTATTTCTCACATGCGTCTCACATGAAAACTACTTTAGTTAATACAGCATTATGCTAATGCTGGCATGATTAAATGCAATCCACCTCTGTTTTCAGCAGGATAATACCACTGCACCCACCAAAAATGTCTCAATGAATCATTTAAAACGATTTTTGGAGACCGATTAATCAGTAGGGGTCGACTCCCTCCACATTCACCGTATTCGATCCCGGTATGTTTCCTTCATTGGAGTCACTTCAAAGACCAAGTATACTATACTATTTAAAAAAATTTAGAAGACCTAAAAGACAACATTCGAAATGCAATTGGCAACATCTGAATTGGGATCCCAAGTAAGGTGTCCATAAACATCGTGCGTCGTGCACAATGCTGCGAAGACGCCAATGGTGGACACTTTCTTCCTGGGTTTGCTGGTGTAGAAGTAACATATCTGACTGGCAATCAGAAGGTCCGGGTTCAATTCCCGGGCATTCCATGACTTTCTTTCGGCTTTTTTTTCCTTCCATGTCCCGTTACTCATTCCCCACCATTACATTATTTTCGCTTGAGTAAAATGGAGAGACATATTAAGCTGAAACTTAGCATGGACGTGCCTACCATGAAGATGAGTTCAGGAATAATGCAAAATTTTAGATCCATGCCTTGGTTGCATATTTTTGTTAGTCGACGTTTTCAAGTATTTTTTTGTCCTGGCGTATTGAGCTGGTGTGGAAAGATGAAACTTGGTGCATAACTACCTATTGGGATGCTGCAGAAAACTTCATACTTTGGAAGTAAATGCCCTGGGGGGACACATTTCAAAGAGAGATATCTTCAACTAATTTTTTTGCATCAGTTAAACTGGTGAACATGGAAAGCTGAAGCTTTGCATGAATGTGTCTACTGAGGCAAATAGTTAAATAAAATTATTAAGTCTGGATACATCCCCTGTGGGAATTTTTTCGAGGTGGGATGTTTTGAAAAAAAAAATTGTTGTGGCGAATTGGACAGAAATGGAAAGGTGAAACTTGACACACGTATAAGTGACATGGTATTACTGAGCTGAGGTATTCAGCTTTAATAGGGCATCCCCTCCGGGCATAGCTTTTGGGTCGGTCGGCTTTTCCAAACATGTTTTTCCACCAGCGAAAAGGGAAACGTATAATATTGAAACTTTGTGGGCATATAGTTCACTGAGGCTGGATTTCGGTAAGAAAACAATGGTACGTTTCGGTTGAAACGGCTCAGGGCACATATTTCGCAAAAGGCGTAAACTAAAGGAGTTTTCAAGTGAGACATTACATTTAAAAAATTTTTTTAGTTCCATTCGTTAATTGATATTAGCGCTGCCTAATGTGCATCAGCGACTGCTATATTGTACGTCAGAGACCTGCAAGAATGTGTTTAGCATGGCAAAGTTCCAACATGGGATTTTTTTTCATTCAATAAAAGTATAAACAAACAGCAAAAATGACTGCAAATAAGTTCTAAGACGGATGACATGCTGTGACGAAACAAAGATGAATGCCGCGAATTACAACAAGCACAAATCCAGCCACTCCCCCACCTTCTTGAGCTACCGGCCAACTGATTTTTTGCCGCAAGCCTTCCAACGTCTTGGTGAAGTACTTCATGCTAAAGCATCATTAAAATTTCCTGGTCAATCGCTACAGGTGGACCTGCTGATGAAGTTACCCTGGGCTTCTTGCTGGCAAGGCCTGCTCTGACTGGATGCTCGAGAGGAGTGCGAATGACCTCACCCTCTTTCACTAGCTCCTCCACTACGTCACCTACATCGAAAGCACCCACCGGAAGATGTTAGAAGAATGATGGAAGAAGCTGGTAGATGGATCCTCTTCTAGCTCTGCCAATTTCGGATCTGATGAAACAAGATCGAAATGAAGTTTGCGCGATGGTTGGAGCGAGCTGCCGAGAGCGAGCGTGTCGACGGCGCGGGAGAAACGGCTGCGACCTGAGACGCAGGTGCAATGCCCCTCGCGGGGCGAACGGAAGGCAAAGCGGGGACGAGCTTTGTAGCTGTCCTGAACAGGAAGTACAGGGACATACAGGAGTATTAAGGTACTAAGGGAAGATGAAAATCGACCCCCCTAGAATGTTGGCTTTTTTTTAATTATGAAATATGAATTAAATGGGTATGAAAAGTCACTTATTATTATTATGGGAACATGAGAATTTCCCTCTTGGGAAGGAGGAATATTGAGAAATGTTGACAATGATACGCTAATCCCAGTTGACTGAAGGTCGAAAATCTCTAGATGAAATTTATGAGGAGGCGATTTGAGACACATTTTGGAATTTCCGGAGGAGGCAGAAGGCCCAATGGGGAACATAACAATTCCTGTATTGATACGGTTTCGACTGTTCAAAACGCGCCTGAAATATGAGNAACATGTTTTAGTAAATGTGTTCATCGCGTCTTTAAACTATTCCGATTCCTCCATTGATGCATGTCACCCAAAGTATTCGTGAGTCCACTTGTCTTGAAATATACGGTTTTTTTCATCGATACGAGGTATTTTACGCTCTGCTGACATTGCTACCGAAAAATAGAACCCAAAGTTTAATTCGCACATCCACACTGTCGCTTGGTATCGGCTCGACTGATAATCCCAGTCTTCATGGAATGAACGGTTTCGACAACATTGTCCCTGTTCGTTTGTCCTTTGAGAGACTGATGGCATACAGTACAAGCCCTACGGAAGAGGCTGGTGCAATATAGTCCAGGTTTTTGCTCCTATTCTCCCTTCACTCCTTCCAGATGGGATTGTAGAAATAGGTAGGGATGTCAGAAGGTGCCATGAAATGTTAAACATTATCTTGATGTGAATCTCCTACTGGGGTATGTTTGCGATGCCGTGGCGGCCATTGGGAGGAATCTGGCAGCATGAATTTATCAGAGATATTTTTGCTTGAAAAAAAATGCAAAGAAGCTCTCTGGAATGATGCGTGCCACGCATATTTTCAGCAGAATCTGGCAGTCCTGCGTATTCTCTCGCCCTCACAGATCGCACCTGGATGTGAAGTCCAGCTATGCGCCTCATGTTTACCCGATGAAAGTGTCAGGATGATTCCATATCCGAGAATTTTGACCGGGAATAGACTGTACTTACCCTCGAGAAAATTTAAACCTAGTCGTTCATTCCGTAGCACTAAAATCGTTCATTCATTTACATCATCATACCAAATTTATTTGTTTTCCAAAACTCCTCGCGGGCCGCACAAAAGCCCTTGGAGGGCCGCACTTTGGGCACCCCTGCCTTAGAGTGTCATTCACCTCTTCAAATATTCCTTCCTCTACGAGTAGATGAGCCAGCGCGCAAAGGTATTTGTTCTTGTTCTCCCTGGTACAATTGTCCATCTGCAGGAAGAATTTGGGCTTCAAATACTCCTTCACATGATGTAGAGTACGAAGAATGACCTCGATTATCAAATTGGAATCGTGGTGGTATTGACCCATGTCAACGTATGCGAACTCGAGGATCCCCTTGCCCGTGTATACCATCACTTCTGCAAAGGTTAGAGTCAAATTGCATCTACAAAATGGCAATTTTCACACCAAACCAGTATCACTTCATTCAACTTGTAGAATTGAACTGTTTGTGTCAATATGTACTTTTAAGCGGCTGTCAGTTATATGAAGTGTTACCTTGAAAACATTACATTAAAAAATATATAGAAGAGCAGAATCACCTTCAATATGAGCGACAAGCTTTCCCAAGCTATTCGTTTGCTTGGGCGAACCGAGGAACATTTGTTTTCTTTTGGTCCATCCCATCTACCACTATTGCAATCCAATCACCATTCTCCAGAGCCAGAACCTTGTGATGTGTGTAGTTGGATCGCTGCAACCTGTTGACCACAGGGTATCAAAACAAGTTCTCAAATGCATAAGCAAAACAATATGGAACTAAATTTAAAGTCAAATACAGAAATATGAGCCAAATGCGTCGCTTTCTCGGAAGTTGTTCAAAACGTACTACATTTGAAGATAGTAACAGCGATATCCTTCATTTTATGCCTGCCACCGAGAAACATTTCCACATAAAATTACCAAGAGTTTTTTGCGTTGTGAAGACATAGCAGTTTAATTTATTGGCAACGTCAAATTAAAAATTAGAGCAAATAATTCTATGTAAAATATGGCAATCGCTTCATTGTTACTTCACCATGTTGTGAACTTGAAAATTGCAGTGCGCAACTTTTGATCTTTACATAACGCTTCATTTTTAGCGCGTAACTTTCATTAAGGAACAAGGAAAGGAAGCCAGAAATAAGAGATATCTCTATGCAGGATTGCCGGAATGGAGGAGGAAGAAGTTTTGCACAGGTTGTCGCAACAAGTGACAAGTGAGTCCC